GTGGAAGCATATGAGGTTCTTCAGATCATTTTAATCCAGTGGGCACACACACACACACACACACACACACACACACACACACACACATACATATATATACAGACACAGCTGGAAACATATGCACAGCCACAGACATAGATTACTGTGCATGCACATCCACACACACAAACAGACGGACACACATAAATCCCTAAATCCTTCCACAGCATCCCCCCTTATATCTGAGTTGCGCTCACCCCCAGTTTAATAATGCCAATTAGCTGAACCTGAGTATTTACAGATAAGCCGCTATTGGATACAAACCCAAACCCAGAGAGCAACCTACACAGACCACCCTGTTCCTGGCTCACTCTCCGAGAGCAAGAAGGAGAAAGGAGTCAGAGAGAGAGAGGGAGGTATAAATAGAGAGAGAGAGAGAGAGAAATGAGCGATAAGTACGGATACAGAAGATGGTTCTTGTGGGGTGTTTTCATACTGCAGGCTGTTGTTTGAAATGCTGGACAAGAATACATTTAACACATTCCCTGTATTTATACATTTATACACACTTGTGTAGGTGTTACAGGTCAGTGCTGTGTGTCATTGCAGAGGTGGAGAGGCTGAACTCATTAATGAGCACCTCTTCAGGGTTTGGCCTTTGAGCGGTTGCTGACCCTGAAAAGAGATTTTGACCCTAAATGGAGACTGCCGTCGGGATGCACTGCAAGGCACAGAGGTAACACTGAGCACACCAGCCGGCGGAGAAAAAGACATGAGGCAGTGAAAGAATTAGGCAATGGTGCAGTGTGTGGTTGTGCGAGTGTGTGACGGACAGAGAAAATGAGAGAACAAGAAAGAAATACGGCGAGGAAGAGATCAATAGATGAATAAAGGCTATCTAAGCCCCAGCGACTTCAATACTTCTCTCATATCTCAAACTAGTTCATATCTGAATCGTTTCATCTAAACTGAGACCTCAGGACACTTTCTCTTGCCCTCTCCTTTGTCTGAGGGCAAATGGAGCTGCACAGATACAAGGCACATACCTTCCCTACAAAACTACAAAAAGGCCAATCCTCTTCTTCCTCATCTGTCACTCTGTCAGGGGCAACCCTTAAAGTCAATTATTTTGTTTGGACGAATGCACTTAAGATGAAAAACGAAGAAATAAACGTAGAACAACCTAAAAAAATAGCTGCTCTGAGCTAAACGGCGTCTATTAAAGCCTCTCTTTATCATTACTCGCTTACTCCCTCCCTCGCTCTGTACATCTGGTCTCATGCCCCAGGACCCTGTTGGGATATGAGCTGAGTGTCGCTGGAATGGCCTGAGCAAAGACACAGGCTTCACAAGAAGCTCCCTGCGCGCCTCCAATGAGACAGACTTTAGTAATAACATTTCCAAGGCGGGTGAGTCAGAGGCAGCTATGCAAACCCTTAGTAATTACTGCTGTGGGCCAGTGATAGCTCTGCCAAAATCCTGCTTTAATGACATGAAGTGCTGAACAGCTCATGCATACAGGGAAGAAGGCAAAAACATAATAAAAAGCATTGGATTTTTTTTTCTGTAGAGCATTAATACCACGGGGAATGAGCTGCACACACTTCACACACTCCACTATTAACTTGGACAGTTAACTCAGAATTTGTGTAGATGAGCCAGGCTGTAGCGCAGCCACTGCAGGTGCAGAACTTCTAGGCCTTGAAGGGAGTAATCTGTACTGATATCAAGTGTTACTTCCCTAAACTCCCTTGATAATAAATAAAGTGGGTGACATACAGTGCCTGATTTTCCAGAGATACTAGATAGGTCTATTTTCTGGTTGATAAATGTTGGCACTATGAAGAAAAAGAGAGTGCTCATGAGGGTGTGAAAACCTGAAATAAATGTGCCACAAAGATACCTTACCGTACGCTGTCAAAAACATTCCCCCATTTTCCGCACTCGCCGACATTAATGTGGGAATTTTGTCTTTGGCTAAATTCCCACATCATGAATGAGGACAACATATCCACCCATGTTTGTGCACATCCATCCATCCAGAGCACCTTAAATAGACGCAGGAGTGTGTTGTCACCTTTATGTCACCAGAATGAGATTACAGTACGTGACTGGTTCCACCTGGTTGTGACCACCTGTGACAGGTTGTGACCAGTTGTGACAGCTGGCAATACGTCTGGAGCGCGACTGCAATGGAGATGTGCTGGGACTGTCAGGTTAAGAGGTATCATGGTGAGACGAGTGTGTTTTCTATGACAGCCAGGGCTGAACAATGAGGGATAAACATGTGGTTGCCATGTAGTGTGTGTACTTACTGGTGTATGGTCCACACATAAGTGTGCGTGTGTGTGTGTGTGTGTGTGTGGACGCATAGCAATGATATAAAACACCTGTCATGTCTTTGCAGTGGCTTGAGCTATGCATCCACCGGCGTGCCAGATACCTTCATGTAGACTGTCACTGACATGCTGCTGCAGAATGAAGTAATATCTGGAGCAAATATACCTGTCAGAGTGAAATAACCGTCATCACTAACATGCAGCAATGTCCCAGATAAACTTACTGTAATTGAAAAAGAAGGGTCCAGTGTTTGGTCTTGTTTCGACTCGCTTTTTTCACTTCACAAAAGCTATTTACAGATTCCAAATAAACTTTTTTCCTTCATCTAGAAGACAAATATGTAGATCTCCCTCGCCCAGTCTTTTTTTCCCTTCCCTATTCCCTCCTTCTCCTTTCCTTCACTCCTCCAGCTTTAGTAATCCATTTCCAAACAATGCACACTCAAATGGACTTGAGCACATTTACTTAGGCTGGGAAGAGTGCTCCATAAACATCCTTTTAATGAAATCTTGAGAGCAACGATCTGCCCTGGATGTCTGCCCAAACAGAATGAGAAAGAGAGTAAGAGGGATGGCGAGAGGAAGAGTGACATGGAGTGATGGGAAAGGAGGGAAGGGTTGGTGACAGAGATGTTGGTTTCTCAGATCCCCATGGGAATGTCTGGTGCAGAGAAAGACACAGGTCTTTCACCATATATACAATGGAGTCATGCAAAACTTGAGGGAAGCATTTGTCAAAGTTTTATTTTTGTGTTCCAAAGATCCTAAACAGTCTCACATTAGGCTGGGAATTCTTTGAGGCCTTTTTATAGATTTGATTAGCAAATGAATTCTAAAAATTCCTCTATACTGCGTGGGAAGATAACATAGGAGAATGAAAAAATACCGTACACCCAGAATAGCCCCTGATAAAAAATTTTTAATTGTCATCACGATCAAAATAACTATGCTTCGTATTGCCTGGAACTGTCTGTAGCATTCTGATCCCATTTCAAAAATAACTGCTGCGAGGGACTGAAAACCAGTCAGGTTACAGTATAAATTACAATACAATTCATCAAGAAAGAAACGGATATTGTACTATTTAGTGATATATTGCATTTATCTCTTATTGTTTAGAGAGTTTGTTTGAACTAAGAAATAAGGTCAACTGCATCCTAATAATCTATAGTAAGAATCTATAAAATAGAGGAAACTTAACATAGTAAATTGGTAACTTAATAGATGTTACATGTCTCCTATGTCTTCTTTATGTATAAATAAAAAAAATTTGACCTCCCTACTTTCTACTGTCAATTTTAATTCTTGGTTCATCTTTAATTCCTGGAAAGATTATGGTGGCTTAATTAACTAGCTAGCTGCAGCTGATAATAGCAACAGTTTTTGAGTGGTAAATCTGCTACTGTAACACTGCATAATATGTGCAATGCGAGGACGGAAAGATTGACTGACAAAGCAACAGTAATTTAGTGTGATGGGGCTTAGCAAACAGTCATTTGTTTGTCTCAGAAATATTACTGCTCCTCTTGGGCATCATCTTTGATGTATAATTCAAAGGGCAATTATTACCTAATTAGACTTCAAAGAATGGTGAGTTGCTGACCTCTATGTAGTTTTGCATGGTAATTATGACAATCCATTTGCCTACATGTCACCATGAAAAACATAAAATATATTATTTTTAAGTAATTATGAACCATATTTGTCACGCATTTCAGTCACAAATACAAAACCAATTTGGCTTGGTAAAGACAATTTAGTGTATGACACAACAGTTCCATTGTTGTAAGCATGGGGCGAGAAATGTGAATTTGTATTTTGTTTCTACCAGATAAGTTAGACAACTAGTACACAAGATGGATTTTCCTGTTATAGCTACAGAATAGCTCTTAGGCAAACAATAAGGTAAAACAGCTTGTTGGCATTGATCTTATGCAGCTCCTTCTGACTGTTTAGGTTGTTTAAGTTTCTCTGGCTTAAACATAGTCTTTTTATAGCCTTCATGTCTGTAGGCATATAATGCCATGAAGTGGTTAGGGCACAACATAACCATGTGAATTTGTTCTTGTATGTGGATTGTTATTTAATTTGCATATGATATAAATGTTCATACCATCTAGGCTTCTCTCAGAAAACCCAAACTTACCTATGGTGATTTTTATATGTCACTTTAGATGTTTTGCTCAGTACAGTAAAGACATTATAAAAAATACAATCATTCCCCATGTGTTAAGCTTTCTCGATGTCTCTTTAATATTTACTCCATTCATTATCCCCATTTCCCAACATCG